AAAGATGTCCATCTCAAATGCTTCGAAATTTAAAGAGGGATCATGTTAATGACGATACAATGTTTTTGGCTGATCTAGCTTTATGTCATTATGCAAGACCTATTAGAGACTTTTACAATACAAATAGCATAAATGCCATCCCTTAATAAGACAATCCTTCTAATGTATCACAACCTTGACCAATAGAAGATGATTGGTCAATATTAAGCAGGAAAGTATACGACAATGGATGGAAAACCTGCAAATGAAGACAGAGGCGAATATACGCGGGGGTAATAAAAGACTTTTTAAACCTAACTTCATGGGTACTAAAAAATAAATAATAAAAATAAAGTCACTATCGCTCAGACCTAAACTGTGGATGCGCCACTGAATGAAGACCAAATACGACGTAGCATTTTTCAAAAAATTCGAAAATTTTACTCTATTGTTGTCTAGTGAGTGATGGGACAAGTCAAAAGAAAATTGAGAGCCCTTGAATTAAATTTATTAGATTAAAGATTCTAATACCAGAAAATCTCTAAAGCATGTGACATCATGTCATCCACGACTGATTAATATTGTTTTAACCACTATATCTATCTCTTTTCTAACTAGAATAATTTGGACCGTTGCAGTTAAGTTAGATATTTAAAATTAGGTATATAAACAATTTTACTCTTTGTTTTACCTTGTTTCATGTAAGTTTGGAATTTCTGTTTTTTTTTTTATTATTCTAAGAGAATTAAGTAATTTCATAAATTAAGACATGTATGAAATCAATAAATAATATCTAACAATAATATTTTTAACTTAACTAAATCGGTCTATATGCATCATTTACTGTTAATACCATTAATACCATTTACTCGACTAACTCGCTTTTTGATATTCAATCAGCGAAAAGGAAATTGTCGCTTTTCCGGCCTATTTTCTCAACGAATATTACGTATATATACGGTTATTTTGCAATGAAAGCTCGGTCGCCTCCAGAGCAAACTTTCATACGCCAAATGGAATAAAACAAGCACGGAAATTGACAGGAAGCGTCGAGAGCACCGAAGATGAAGGGAAAATGTTTGAAAATTTAAATTTGTAAATAGACGTATTCCGTATATAATGATGTATTAAATATGCAGAATATAGTATTTGAAATTGAATAAACTCGCTAAGAATAGATTAAAGGTTGTAGAGTAGCATGGAGCGAAATGACACACTTAAGGTAGTTCACTCGCGACAGTCGTACACAAAAATATCGCCCTATAGTGAATACCAACCATTCGAGATTCTTAAATCTAAAGAAAGGTTATTTTTGTAACAGACTGTACACACAACACATTTTATAACTTCTTGATTTACATTACATTAGTTTTTAAAAAATATGGTAAGAACCGTTTTCGAGATATCTTGAAATAAATGCAATGATTGTGTACATGACAGGGCTTCGAGTGTTAATTATGAACATTTTGATTGTTAATATCTCGTTTTACAGACGGTCAAAAATTTTTATTTTTTTTGGGTACATAAAAGACACTTTCATTAACCTCATATTTCAATTTGATTGAATCCTTAAGAAAGGCCGTTTTACGAGTGAACTACCTTAAGACTTGAATGCGCATAATAACCAAACATGTATTTCGCGAAATGCATTAACAAAAGGTATAAAAACTCTAAAAAGTAAAGTAGTGTAAAATAGGAGATTTGTTCCACCAATGGAACAAAATTCCAATTAGTATTGAACAAACTTACAACATCACTATTCCATAAACACAAAGAATATCATCAATGTTTTTGTTGACATGATTTTTCGATTTTTTAGTTTCTGATTCATTCCAGCAATTAATTAAGTTGTCTTTAAATGGAGGGCTAGAAAAAATTTCTTATTTTTGACCTTCTCTTATTCTATTCTGGTCTTTTGATCTTTAGAGAAGCGGTAGAATATTTTGTGAACACACTAGCACTTGATGTAGGAGGAGGATACAAATCATATAATGAAATATTCTCTGGCGACTTTTTAGTCCCTTGATATTTTTCTGGAGTTACTTTATTCGTGATAGATAACGAAATAAAAAAATTTGGATTAGAAAATAAAAACTTGTTCAGTTCTACTTCATTTTCTGGAGGATTTTCATGCCTTTCTGTAACGGATGATGGAATAAAATACTTTAAAAGCTATTTTGAACATTTCTAATTCCTTCTGACCTCCTTTTGACCGATTTTTGTGAAATTTTCGGAAAATACCAATTATAACAAAACTTAAGGTGTGGAAACCTTGACTTTCTTGTAAACTTTCAAAAAGTATTTATTTTGATAATTTTTAAAAAGAATTTAAATAACAAAAATTTTGACATAAAGTAGGGTTGCCACCTGTCCTTTTTTGAAGCAAAATGTCCTTGTAACTTTTTAAAGCTTAAAATGTAATCGCAGCAAGTGTCAAAATGATCTGCTTTACACAACCAGTTGCATAATGTTGAACATTATGAAACTGGTTTCGAAAAATTCGCCAGTTGCGTAAATAAAATAAATAAAAATAAAACTTTTTTAAATTTAAAATCAATAATATACATTACATATTATTGAAAGTTTATATCAAAAAAGGGCAGGTTGACTTATAAACCTTACAACCTTATAACCTTACAATGTAGTAAAATTTTTGTTTTGGTCCTTATTTTCCATTCTAAATCAGCACAAAATAATTAAAACAATACACGACAAAATAACCCACTTTTTTGAATTCGTAATAACTGTAACAAGCAAAATAAACACACTACAATAAAGTCGTAGAGAATAAATGAATATTGATTTTCTATTTGTCAATAAAAGAATGAAGTTAATCTTATGCAACTAACAATACAAGAAAGTAGTAATATTGGTTGCCTAGATGTCAGTAATTATTAACCAAAACACAATTTTATAAATAATCTAGTTACCAGAGATAATTGAGATAAAGATAGGAAACGCTCATAAGAAGCCAATGCTTAACAATGACCAGCTTTAACGCAGTTAACATCTGAGCCACTATGTGGCGCTTTCATCGATATCAAACAACGCAACGGGAAATTTAAAAACCTGATAATAAAGGTTGTATAAATATCGACTGCACTCTCAAGTTCTTGTACATAAATTTAAACAATGTAATTACGCTAAATTATTTATTAAAAAGAATACTACCCTTACAGTCTATTATCGATTAATATAAATCTATATTTATGACAAATATTTTTTAATTTTTGATCGTTATTTGTAACATTACATTTTTGTTATATTTTCCAAACGAATGGCCAATGCTATCTTATTTAAAAATGTTGAGTGCAAACTCAATAATGAGAATTCAGATATTTTTCTTCCTATATCAAATCTTCTTTCTAACGTTTTGAAGCCATTTTCTTGTTCTAAAACAATAAATAATAAATACCTACTATGTGACAAAAATTGGTTACTATTTGTGTTACTTACATGACTAGAACTTGCTTTGGTTAATTAAAGAACGCCACATTGTGGTTGTTAAATTTATTCATGTGGCATGTGTTACTAATGCAATATGTTCTCCGAATTATTGTAATATTACAAAATATAATTATTGTCCTCAAATTTCATACAAAAACAGCTACAACTATTTCGCTCAGTTCATCTAGAGGATAATACAATCATAAACTGAAAATTTAAAATTTAAATTTAGGATTCTTCGATATACATAAAACTAACTGACATTTATATTTACAAACTGGAGTGCGTTTAGAAACCACGCACGGCGCGTCTGGACCCTATTCTAATGTATGTGGTGAGACGCGCCGTGCGGGGTTTCTAAACGCACTCCTGTTCACTGCTGTCCACGTCTACTGTCTGTTTCAGTGTTGCCAACCGTACGATATAAATTGTATTTATACACATACTTTAGAAAATCAAAGTATGTGTATTTATACGATTTTTTAACTCTCTGTACGATGTACGATTGCATCAGTGAGATCGTAGATAAAAATAAATATTTACTTTTTTAGTAGGTTTATTTAAATATCTGTTACAACTTCAGAACATAAAATAATAAAAATCAAAAACTACTTGCAAAGATTCATATCATATAGGCTGTTTGTAATTTCTGAAGGCAGTCATTTCGTTCTCACTTATCGTGATTTTGATCATGGTGATTTTGTACCAACCCCGAATATTACGGCATAAGAAAAGCTTGCATGCAAAATTTCAATCACTTTCAAGTGACTGTCATTGATTAGTTTAAATGTGTTAATTTAAAGTTTCATGTATTTTTTTTTTTAGTTTTTTAGTAGATAAATAAATTATAATGTCAAAGTTTTTTTTTATTTTTCATCCATTTAAGTTATAATTTGCTATACATGTATTTATTCTACAATTTTTTTGTCGAAATACCATTTTTCTACTCTACTTGTACGATTTCTCAAAAAAAATATTTGGCAACACTGGTCTCTCTACAAACGACGTATACATGTAGTTAACATATGAGACGCATAGATGACGCCATCGTTGCTGCGGTCGTTGCGTTTACTATCTTTATGTTCCTAATCTCTGCTAGTTACGTTACGAAATGCGTTTTTATGCAACCCGTTCATGTTGCGGGACCTCGCTGTGCAGGTCCCGCAAATATTCACTCGTTACATAAAATAAGTCATTTCGTAACTGGTTTCAAAAATAGCTATTACGCGCCATTCTCTATTAAATATATGAAAATGTGCTACCGGTTATTTTAATAATTATCTAGCAGTTTTTAAATGGAAGGGTTTCCCATCTTTTTATATTATAAAATTCTTACATTTTGATTTTTCACGAGAGGTCTGGTTTGCTTTTAAACGACCAAGAATAGTTTCAACAACACAAAACAAAAAAATGTATGATACAAAACTTTCAAACGTTGTTTTTTTAAAACATTTTTGCGTTTGCTCTGGAGGTAAACATCATACAGATATAAGGGCTAAAAGTATATATTTTCCTTTTCGCATCAAAAATAATAATTGTGACAATACATTTCTAATGTTTATTGATGTTTTTAGGGACCAATTGGATTAGATGGACCCAAGGGCGAACCAGTAAGTTTTTATTAATTTTACATACAAAAAATGTCTTTCTGTACCAGAGAAAATTGCTGGAAATTCTGCTAGTATCCAATCAGTTCCGAATGAACCATTTATATCACTTAGAAACCTATAAGCTTAATTTCTTACAAGTTATACTCAATCTAACATATTAATGACAAACAATATAGCTAAAGGTTTTTGGCCAGGTCTGGTCTTTCATACATGTTGCCATATTTCTTTCCAATGCCAGTTCAATATGTTTTGCTGTTGATAGCTATGGCTGCATTCTACAAATTAAATGAAGACATACCTTGAAATTTTCTAATATTACCATATTACTATAGCAACCTAGATTATAGACATTAGATCATATCAATATCTGATAGCCAATTCTTCATTGAAAGATAGATCATGACTTCAAAATGACCTACAATTTGTTGCCATTTGAGAACTAAAAATACTCTGAAATCCATTCTTGTTAATTCTAAAACAAAATTCACTTTACCGAGTATTTTAAAATGCTTTTTCAAATTGTTTGCATTAGCATATTATGTCTTTTATCTCATTACTTAAATGTCCAAAACCCTTATAAATAAACTGCTTCTACTTGCTCCACAATACATGGTAGCCAAAAAAAATAAAAATTCCAGTCAAATTACCATCTTGGAACACAAAACTTGATATATACACGATAGTTTAATTAAAATGGAACCATTACTGTAAATTCTCTGATCTTTAACTGATTCCATCAATGTTTTTTTAAATATCTTAGAGAATTATGTAACACAACGTGTTTTGATTTAAAATCTTTAATATCACGGACCAAGTCATGTAATAGTAAATTCTCAAAATGTGATCAAATTTACCCTCAATATCCTAAATATTTCTAGTAGTAAAATCTGGAGGTAATGGTGCTGCGGACAGAAGAAGGTGGGTTTGAAGTAAAATTTTATAGACTTCTAGGTTGATGTTAAAAAATTTGTTCTGGTCCATTTTCGGAAAGTACAGAATCAATTAAACCAGGTATTTCAGAAATATATGTGATTGTTTCATTTAAAGAGTTGGGTGAAGAAAAAGAAGTAAACACAGCTTTATTATGATCATTTCGTTAAGTTATACACAATGAACTGAACTTCTTAGATTTTGAGGTTAAACTCTCTTGTTTAATTGGTTCTTGTTTTCCAAAAACTAAAACCAGTTATTTAAGGGGGTCTGTTATTGGTTATTAACATTATTATCGTAAATGTATTTCAAATCAGTCATATCTTGTTGGAAAATTACTAAAAGGTTGATATTATCTCTAATAAGCGGTTTTGGTATCGTGTTATAATATCTGACAATCTGTTTATGCCGAAAACTCGAGATTCTTTAACCTAAACAAAAAATTTAAGAAAATTGAGGGAGGTACTCTCACAACCGGTATAGCTAACAAATACTTTAGTAGACAGAATCTACAGGTAATTATAGGCATTCTAAGATGAGAAGATAGATTAGATTAAATATAATTATTCTCTATGTAGTCCACCGGAATTACCCTCAAACGAAAATTTTTAGTACAGCATGGAGACTCAGATAACAATAAAGGTTTGACAAAATTTCACTATGCGCAGAAATGAGAATGATCGGAAGAAGGCATTATATATACATATATACATTTTTAGACGGTTTTTTCCAGTTTTTTGCATTGTACTCAAAAACGATGCGTTTTCATGAATAATTTTAGTGGATTTGTTTGAAGACTCTAGAAGCGCGCCAAAAAAACAAATGTATATATTTTGCGATTTTTCACATTTTACATGAAAACCATGCACTTTGGTGTAAAATTTAATAGGAGCTTAGTTATAAAGCGGAAAATATCCTATTGAACCTATGAAATAGACTTTCTGGACACATATCTTTTTTCGACTCTACAGCGCATGCTAGAAAGTTGCTGTTCAATTTTTCGTATTGTTCGTAAACAAAGAAAATAAATATGTTTATTTAAATTCCACAATCAACAATGTTGCAACTAAATTTTTTTAACCAAGTTTTGACAAAAATTTAATAATCATTTATTGAAAAAAACGACTTTCCACGCATGCACTGTAGCTGCATCTGTTTCATAGGTTCGAAAGGAAATTTGGCTTTTATGAAATTTTCCACCAATGTGCTTGGTTTTTATGTAAAATATGAAAAATCGCAAAATATATACATTTGTTTTTCTTGGCGTGATCTAGCGGTAAAAATATGAAATTTGGCCAAAAATGTATAGGAACATAATCGACAGAAAATCGTCTGTTTTTAAAAACAGTCTAGTATCGTTTTTAAGTAAAATAAAAAAAAACTAGAAAAAACACTGAAAATGTATATAGTGAAATTTTGTCAAAAGAAGTGAAAACCTTCATTGTTGTCTGGATCGCTGCACTAAAAATTTCGCCTTAAAGCCCTAATTCCGGTGGACTAATGATTTTAGGAGCTAAGAGATTCCTATTAATTCAAGAGGGTGCACAGTGAGACTAGTGAGGTCTAAGTGCTGTAGGGATAACCCACCCTCTTTACCAGATCACAAAGAACAGATACTACCTTTTGACTTTTGTCTGTCATTTATGTTCGGTGAATCTCGTCATTGATGTAAGTACAGGTATTATTATAAACGAGTGTAATATATATTTGGAGAAATAAGTTTATGATCAGCAAAACAGTGAGCAGATCGGTATAAAAACCACTAAAGAGCATAAAATGAACAAAAATGCTCGTGTAACACGCATTATATATCATGGCCTTTAACGTGTTGATCTCAAATTTAAATTTGTATTGCTTATAAAATTACTATACTGTTAAATCAATATTCAATGTCTTCTAAACTCTGTTAAAGTATTTTTATTTGATATTTTGTTTTTTAATTTCGTAGACATTGTTGCCAGTTTTTATAATTTGTCTAAAATCTTCTGAAACAGAATTAAATTTTGGGTGTAGATTCTTTTGATAACTTCCGAATCCAGTGGAGTACCGTTGTGTTACATTTTAATTTTCTAAATAAAAAACATTATTGGAACAGGATACCAAATAGAGAATTTAGAGAAGTGGTTCCATTTTAAGTGAATTATAAGGTATACATTCACTAAATTCTTATATTTTTTTTAAATAAAAATTTGCTTTTCAGGGTCGGCCCGGCGAGAAAGGTCAAAAAGGCCAAACCGGTTCTGCTGGTATCGACATGATCCAAGCAGTTAAGGTAGGCTATTGGTTTATTTGTAAAAACTACCAAATATTTGTACATATAACATTAGAAAGTGGCTTTGTTATCAAATTTATTTTTTATTTATTATTCAACAGCTGCCCGGAAGGGTAAGTACGATTGTTCAAGTAGAAAACAATCTATTTTGTTTTTTCGTTGCAATTGTGAAACGTAGTATTTATACGAAAATTAAAGTTTTTATATGGAAACATTTGATCATGAATTTTAATTATCACCTACACTTTCACTAATAATTTTCATCTGAGTTTTATTTTCTTTGCATCATTTTTATTTAAATTTGGAATGTATGCTAAAAACTTTAATTTTTAAAAAATTTGTTCCTTTTTAAAAACCATTATTTTCATTAAACATTTCTTTTTGGTATTAAAAAAAAAAAAATATTTTTCCAAATTTTTTTGCTTTAATAATCAAATTTTTGTTATAAATTTTTGATTTATAATAAGAAATAACTACGTAAAATATATTATTTGTATAAAAAATTTTCAGACGTTAAAAAGGTCAGTGACGACACTTCGAGGAGGGACATTGGGATATGCAGAAATTGTTGCAGTCAAGGTTTGACTTCCTTCTTTTTTTAGGTTATATGCATCAGTGTTTTGTCCTAATTTATTATTTCTATCCAGAAGTCTACCCATTTTTTTTTTTCATTTTTAGTATGCACCAGTAGGACAGAGAATGAATTTAGCAGCCAATAATTACTTTTATATATATTTTATTTTGATATAATTTTATTTTTATTTTTATTTATTTTTAGTTTTGTTTTTTAGGGGTTACAAGAAAGGGGGCATAATATTTCTGGCGAAGTCTTGATTACTCTTAAAGTGAGTTTTTTAATTTATTTGACGTTAATTCATCAGTTTTTATAATCCATTTAATCCAGTTAAAAATTGATTTCCCCTCTACAACCTCCCTTGATTTTGATACTTATTTTAATTCTTAAATATTTTTAAAATTTATAGTTTAATTTATATTTCTTAGAAATATATTTTTGTTTTAGTTTGTTAGAGAACTATGTCTAATATTAAATAGCTATACAGCGTGTCCCAAACCTCTAACAAAGTTCTAAATCTATGTCATCTTAAGATATACAACAGAAACTTATTAATTTAAATCATAGTTGCACATTTAATTTATTTTGAAAAAATATAATTTTAAATGTGCATATGAATATTTATAATACTAAGTTTTATTGTATCTCTTAAGGCAACGAAGATTTATAATTTTCTCAAAGGCTTGGAAAACCTTGTATATTTATATTATTTTAAGAATTATACTTTTGTGACATTTATATTTTGTAGAGTAGTTGTTGTTATAACTTTTTTAAGTCTTGTAAAAAGTAGGTAACTTTAGTAATTATTCGAAAATTTCGGAAGACAATATTTTTTTTATTTATTTGTAATTATGTAAATTAGGGAGAACCTGGAGAACCAGGCCCACCTGGACCACCCGGACCTCCTGGATCTGAAGGTATGCCTGGACACGACGGACGACAAGGAATGGGCGGAGAACCAGGTCCAGCTGGAGAACGAGGAGAACCTGGTCCTATGGGACCTCCAGGACCACCAGGATTAGATGGTCTCATTGGACCAAAGGTAATTTACAATAATAAAATTTTGATTTAGATTATAGAACTTGATTAGTATTTAATTAACAAAATTGTCCATGAATTATAACAAAACATCCAGTGACGTGTCCTGCCAGATCTCCAGATCTGAATCCATTAGATTTTTATTTTTGGGGGCATCTCAAAAATAAAGGGTATACAACGATTGAGATTATCCGCGAAAAGATTGAAGATGAATCGGAAGATATCCAAGAATAAGAAATTGAATTTTGGAATCGCTAATTATATTGAAGAAAATGATGACAGTTTGAACAATTACTCAATTAATTTTAACGATATTTTCAAATGGTTTAGTGTACATTTCTAAAAACTGAATTTCTTTTTATTTCTATTTTTAATTTATATCAATAATAATTTAATCCTTCTTAGGGGGACAGAGGTCACATGGGTGTAATGGGCGTTCCAGGATATCCAGGATTGCCAGGACATATGGGTTTGCCTGTGAGATATTTTTATACTTTTTCCTTCTTGTTTTCATTCACCGTCCTAAATTATTTTTTTATTGTATCCTAGGGTATACCAGGTAGAAATGGAAGCAAAGGTGAACCTGGTCTTCGAGTAAGTCGATATATATGTACAGGGTAGTACTTCGTAGATCTTTAACTCTTGTTTTAGGTACTTGTCCGTATAGTAGTACTTATGGCATGGGGTCGAACAGGGTAATTTCAGAATTTGTGTTTGAAAATTAACAGGTGTGGCTAAGTTAACTGAAGCTCAATGAGTTTATTATTGTGGAATGAATAGCAATTATATTTAGTAAAAACAAAAAAAAATGCTAAAATACTCGTACTTTTACTGATATTTGGATATTAGTCTATAACCATATATAATAATGTTGTTAATTTCTGTGGTAATAAAGAATGGAAAGTAAGAGAAGAAGAAATTATCCTCTGGTTGACATAACCTCATTAATATTTTAATTTACACAATTATTATAAAGAAAATTGATGTTTTTTTAGATAATTTTTGTATGAGACATGAAATTAATTAAGAATGAAAATTATTATTATTATTAATATTATTATTATTATTATTATTGTTACCTGTCTAAGGATAACAAATATATTTTGCTGAGATGTTGTATGTCTGTTGTATTATTACACTCCCTATACCTGTTAATTTTTGTAACAATTTCAAGTAATACCCTTTAAATTATCGTTACTAACTGAGATATTCCGCAAAGGTCTAGTTGTGAGCTACTAACACACCAAAACGTAATAGCCTTCACGGATTTAGTTGGTGCTACATTCTTTTGGGTCCAATAACATTTTGTAATTATAAAATTGTCAATATTTTTTTCTAACATTTTCAGGGCGACAAAGGTGATAAGGGCGAACGAGGCCTAACGACAACTTTAACTGGCGACCAGTTCCCTACCGGTATCATCGAAGGACCGCCTGGACCTCCTGGACCACCAGGTATGTCACATCAAACAAAATACAGGGTGTTTAAGAATAAAGTATCGTAAACTGTGAGACATGTGGATCTTAATTATTAAAATTTATTTAAAAAAAATAAACATAAAATTTTATTTATTCTTTTATAATCATCAAATTAGTTATTACTGATTATACTTTTTTAAGTTTATTATATACTATTTTTTTAAATAGTAAATTTTTGTGAAGAAAAGTTGAGTAGACTAATTTGAAATCTCCGGATAGAAAAAGATATCGATAGTATGGAAACTAAGACGCTTACAGAAAAATTATATTTATAATTTCTTAACCATTACGTAAGACCTACACATACAACATTTTAGAGCACTTTCATCTGAAACACCCTATATATAAAAACTTAATTGCAGACTGTTTTTGTTTAATTGGCATTTTATTGCATTCAAATCCTCTAAATTTCAGGAAATTATATTTTATATTTTTAAAATAATTGTAATTTCAAAAATAAATTGTATTATAAGGTGAAAAAGGAGAATCGGGACCCATCGGACCTCCTGGAGCCCCTGGAGAAAAGGGGGCAAGGGGAAAACGAGGCAAAAAGGTATTATGTAATCTTTATCTAGGCCTTTACAATATCTCGATGCTTTAAGACATTTTTTTATTTTAATTTATAGAGATATTAAAAGTTATTGCAAAATACTTCTTTTTATATTTAAAAAAAATAATAATAAATGTTAATTAATTAATATAATGAGCTGGATATTTTTATAATTTGATGGCATCAAGATATTGTTAACTATTCTAACCAAACTACATCTCATTTCATAGCTTCAAATGAGGAAAATTTTTAAAAGCATGTGAATGCTATTACTAATATTGCACGCTTGTACTTATATTGATTTAAAATTTAGTTTCGTTTTTGCTTAGTTTTAGAAAAGCATGTTTAAAATTTGGGTCGATATTTTTTATCCTATTCTCTTATTATAATTATTATTAACCTAAACACTTTTCCTATGACTAAATGAGTTTACTTTAATTTTAATAAAATTACATTTTTTTTTAAATAATTTATCCATTGACAAATGTGAAAAAATCGTAAATAAGGAAGAAAAAAAAATAAAAATAAATTTATTGATACGTCAACCAGTTTTGATTTATGGTCATCATCAGGATTAGAAGAAAACACAATTTTTATGCAATGGAAGGGAACTCAGAAATACAAGATAACAAATAATAAAATATATTATTACATAATTGGTATCAAAGTTATTTTAAAACCAATTTAAGGAATCGATAATAGTTAATTATAATAGTATATATGAAAATTTACATATATAAAATAAGAGAAATATGAAACACATTATTAAACAAAAAGTTTTCATAACAAACAATGACCCGCTTCAAAAAATGTTTTTTTCTTCACTTGTAAAACAATACACTTGTTATTTTTTCTATAGGTATACTTCGGGTGAGCGACCGCAAAAACATTTTTCGTCCTAGTCCGAAAAACATTTACGTTATGACAGTATTATTTTTATACTTTCTTGGTAGAACTTTTAATTTTTCGTTTTTTTTTGTCTTTTTCAGGCACCGTAGACTAATACGTAATAGATTAACACCAGCACACTATATTTCCATTTAAAGTGCACAGCTTTATTATTTAACAAATTTTAATTCATTTTTTTAACAATTATTTTAATATTATATTCGTAAGTATGGTTCTAATTTTTTTGTTTGGAATATTTAATGCAATTTTACTTTAAAAAATAAAATAAAATATGTGGTAGATATTCAAAAATTGCCTATATATACAGGGTGGACTACCGGTAACGCTTTGGTCTGTAGAACCAAAACTATTTGATTTTTTTAAATGTTTTCACAGCGAAATGTATATTAGAAAAAGCAACAAATTAAAAAATAATTTCAATTATACATATAGGGTTCCAAGAAAGTGATACATATCAAAGTTGGGTTTTTTTAATGGGATACCCTCTATTTTATTTTATATTTAAATAGTCCTCGCTTTTCCCATTATATATATTATGAGATTATACAGGTGTACTGCAAAAGAAATAATTGAAAACCAATGTTTTTGTGATAAAAGGTTTTCGATATTAGTCAATATTTTATGTTGATGCGCTACTTTATCCAATTCAAACAAAATCTGTACAGGGTGAGCCAAAACTCATTTTATTAAATTGATTTTATATTCACATTTAAAAGTATCTTAATTAAAGTTTTATTTGAGTTAAGTATTCCCTATACATAAGATTAATAATTTTGAGAGAGTTTTAAATTTAAATGAGAAAAAAATAATTCCTAAAATATTAATAAATTTTTGACATAACCTAATGCGAGTAAAAAAAATAAAAACAGGAACCAAAACTTCATATAATACCTACTTTATTAAGTTTATTAAGTGTTATTTTTACAGATTTTATTTAATTAGGAAAGTTTCTTTAAATAGACTTCAATAATATTTATGGAGGTCTAAAGATGATTTTCAAATGTCCAACTCACATTTCTAAGCATTTTTTAAGTAACTCTAGAAATACTTCTCTTATGCACGACCATGGGCGCCGCCACACGAGAGCAAGGGACGTCTGCCGCTCTCTGGATTTGTGATTTTGAATGTTTTCGCCATGCTTTTCACTATAGCCTGCCTGTAAGGCTTGTCCCCTTCTGGAAATTTTGTGAACGGTGCTCATGTCTATGACTATAGGTCATATTAAAAAACTGACTAAACTTTTTTTAAAACAATTCCCACACTAATGACGTTAGTAATAACGAAGTGTCGGTTGGCACTGGGGTTTCAAAGTTATCTCAAAAATATAATAAACTTAGAATAAAGTTGGTATGACTAGTTGTTATCGGTATTTGTTATTGGTAGTAGTTAAATCCTATTAAAAATTCTCAAAAACTTATTCAGTCAATAATAAATTGCAACTGGTTAAATTCTAATTACTAATTCACAAACAGTAATTTAAAAACTGTTAACCAGTAGCCAGTTAAAATTAAAATAATTTGTGAATAATCTTTTTTGTCATTTAAATTTAAAAATCTACAAAAATTATTAACTTTAAGTATATCGAACTTTACTTAAGGTACTTTTGATTGGTGATATAAAATACAGGGTGGTCAATTAACAAAAATGAGAAAATGATGTATTGGAGTTTTGACTCATCCTGCACATATTTGCTGTTAATTGTAAAATTAAATAACTTTTACCGCAAAAAAAGTGGTTTTCAATTGTTTCTTTTGCAGTATCCAGGTCATTAAAATCAATACGATTTTCATATAAAACTGGTTATAGCGTGTAAAATAACCTGTATATGTTTATATTATTTGGCTAGGGCAATTCAAATATATGTATCACTTTCTTGGAGAATCCTGTATAATTTAAATTATTTTTAAATTGTTGCCCTTTCTAATATACATCTCGCTGTGGAAACATTAAAAAAAAATTAAACAGTTTTGGCTCTACAGACCGAGGCGCTACCGGTGGCCCACCCTATATAATAAAAACATATTTTTTTAATTTTTACTGGAAAATGTGTAAGCCACAAATTTTTCTCTATAGTTGGTCATGAAATAAATCACTTCTAACTAAACTTACAATTATAATTAATTCTTTTGTATAAAGTGACAAATTAAGAATTTACAATAGTTACATCATGAACTAAAGATGATATCAGAAAATTATTAATGCCTAATTTGAGGAGAATATGCCAGATATATTCAGTTTTTTTTTTCAACTGAGATGATATTTTATAGACAAGCAATATTTTTATGGGTAACAGTATATAATACAGGACATGGAACAGAGTTCCCGTTGATCAGACTGTCACCCTGTCTGACATGGGACATGACTCTAGAGAGATTTTTATTGGTTCGCACGTTATAAATATAAATAATAGTCCAAACGTCAGTAAATAACTCTGACTTTACGCTGTGTAAATATTTATTCTATTGTGTATTTAAAAATGAGCGCAAGATTTAATTTTTTAATGAAACACATCATTTACTTAAAAATCGTAAATATTTTGCTTTTATTATGAGGTAGAAAAAATCTTAAAAATGTCCCCTACTACTTTGATGGCTCATTCTTACTCTTTTACAGCAGCTGCTGATTCAGTTTAAGCCTATATTATTTTTCGTCTCCGATGACACGTCGAATTTTCTCGGACTATTCGATGGTTTAATTATATAATTTTCCAGATTTTTTTTATTTTTATAAAGCATCTTTTTGATTAAATACATCATCACCAGTATCTATAAAGTTATTTTATTGACTCGGTTCTCCATCAAAATTTGAATTTATATGTAAAAAAAAAGTTAATAATTCACTTCATCAGGCGTATTTTCTGTTTTTATAGCCAACATTTCTTTAAGAAGTTAAAATTCACTACTACTATCTGTTTCCTGGACTAGGTACCCCACTTTTAATTGTTTTTTAGTTTTTATTACAAATAATGTTATTTTCAAAATGAAAAATGTTCACGTTAGGTAAGTACCGTTACAGACATTATGCCTCACCTCTTGTCCGGCTGACTGCGCAAATTACATGTATATATACTTTTTTAATAAATGCCCCAACTGAATCATTTATGGTCCTTAAGATAAATTAGCAATTTTATTCTAACCTAACTTATCTAGGGTTAAAAAGCTTCATAAAATAAGCTTCTACTCACTAGTACACTTTAGAGTCTAATTATTTAGGTACACTACCGTTAACATATAGAACCAAATCTTGCCCTCATTTTGAAACACTCGTCTTTATTATACTATTTTTTTTTGTTATTAATTCTTTTGTGTATAATTTTGTAGATAGTACCAGGCATGTACATGTTGTAAATTAAATTATATCAAGAGACAACCGACGAACTGAAGCTATGTGACTAATTAATGTGGTTTGTTTAGGGCCTAGATGGAGATACTCTTAATAGGGGCTCCCCCGGACCCAGAGGTGAGATGGGGCCTCCTGGTACAAAGGGGGAGAGAGGATACAGGGGGTATATGGGTCTCCCAGGTACATACAAAAAGAATATAGGCTAGTTTTAACTTTTGGGGACCTTTTTAAAAAAAAATATTATCTATTTATTATTAAAATTGTTAACTGTTCATGGTAGTACAGGACGTGCCATCTATTCAAAGGCTGGTTAATTAACTCAACAGATAGATATGCACATGTAAGATATTCAGTAGATAATGCTCTCCATTTCCAATAATTATTTATTACACATTTTTTATTTCAGTTATTGTAATAAAAGCTTACGAGTAAAGTGAGGTGATTGTTATTGGTTCAATATCGTCTCTGGTCTTTTCTTTTTTAAATCTTCCGAACCAATGTGTATGATGACAGTAGCATTCTGTTTTTGGTAATTTTACCTCAACAATTTCCCATATTACTAGAATTAGAAAGAGAAAAGAGTATCCTTGGAATTATTACATAAATTATAATTTTGGTGCTTTTAAATTGCTTCAACAGTTTGTCAACAGATGGCGTCTTTAGTTACTACTAGAAGTATTGTTTTTAAAACTTATTACTACTAAAATGTCTCAGAAGTTTTGACTAGCTTCATAAAAATGTATATTAAAATTTCGTGGACATTTGAACTTTGATATTGCAATGATTCCATTTTATTTTGTTTCGTTTGTTTTTTTAACTCTGTACTATTTGATGCTCTTATTTAAGGAACTAAAGGTGATTCAGGCATTATGGGACAACCCGGCATACCAGGAAAAGATGGTGAGACAGGACTTCAAGGACCTCCAGGGCTACCGGTAAATATAACATATTTTAATAGTAAATTGGACATTTTTACTTGAAATTAAACACACATTGTAATGTGTAGGTTTTTACAGACTTAATATTTGAAAAATCGTATGTATATAGTAAATATAAGACTTGAACAAAGTACTTTTTGTACTCCTATATATAATTTTTTTTTTTTTTTTTTTTTTTAGTTTAGAGGTTTGTTTCTTTTTTACTATTAATAATCGGTTCTAGTAATTCGACCATTATTTTTCCTCCAATTTGTTTATGAACCAGCATTCGTACCAAATCTTATCAGCCTTCTTGGAATCCAACCTGATGATCTTTTATGAGCAAATTTATTTCTATCATAGTTTTTCAGGAACAGCTTCTCAAAGAGTTAATTTGTTTCTCTCTCAGCTATTTTCCAGACTCTTTGAACATGCTTTTTTCTGATACCTGCATTTATCAAATTTGTGAGTTTAGCAATATTTTTCATATCCAGGAGCTTTTTTAAATTTCACTTTAAGTTTGGCAATTTCTTTATTTTCTTCTATTCTGTTCCTAATCAATTTGATGTCTTCATTTTCTCTGCGAGTTATTAGATATTTTTTTCTTCTCTGGGAGTATTCAGTTTGATATATTATTCTTCTTATCTGGGAGTAATCATCTTCTTATCTGGGAGTAATCATCTTCTTATCTGGGAGTAATCATCTTCTTGTTTTCTGAGAGTAATCAGTTTGATATCTTCTTCTGACAGTTTGGTTTGTCTTCTTTCAAAGAATTTTTTATGGTTAATTGATTCAAAATATCCAGATTTAATTTATATCTATTTTGTAAAGGGATCTACCGGAGACAAAGGAGATAAAGGTGATTATGGAGACATTGGACCACCAGGTCTTATGGGTCCACCTGGTCTTCCTGGCCCACCTGGTTATCCCGGACAGAAAGGCGAAAAAGGAGAAAAAGGAGATTCGGTAAGTTTTCAATATTTTTATTTATTATTATCTTATATCTTTTTCCTAATGAAGCAAAACTATTTTTATAATTACAACGAATAAGTTCAGTACTGTTTATTTTGGCCATACTGTATACATTTTGCGTCTAATTTACATTGAAATCATACTAACGTTTTAAGAAATTATAATTTACTCTCATTCTTAAAATATGTCGTTTAATTAATTTGGTCTGTTTCAAATTCCATTTGGGCTATTTTATCTAAAAGTGAAATCTTATAAACAAGAGATCAAAAAAAAAACAAAGGTAAAGTTGAGATAACGCGTTTGAAAATATCCCCTCGGTGTTTTTCTGTATCTAATTACAAAAACATTTCGTCGAGAGTAAGGTCCCTGCGAAAATCGAGACTTTATACTTTGAATTCCCAGGCTTTCGGCCAAATTGAATTTGCATATTCTCATCATATTATTTCAGTCTGTGGGCCAACGGTCCTTCAAAATAAAGTAAAATACACTTCTATTTTTATATATTGAACTTATTGCTTCATTAATCATTATATCTTGATTCTGCACTACATAATAGCATCTATTTAATTTAATGCTATAAAGATCTAGAAGTCAAGTTTGTGATGTTAACATTGCTTTTATACTGTAACTGTTAATTAAGTATTTTATTAATTCTTGATGTACTATTTTAAATACAACTTTTGGTATCGGGACTATAGACAATCACATAAGTTAATGCACTTAACATGTTGTCAAATGGTAATTTCATTCTTCTTTAAATTAATTTTCGTGCATTAGCAAAAATTAGTATTATGTGTTCACGTTTGTTTGTTTGTTTGTTGCAATTATTTTACTTGTTTACCTTTCAACATTTCAATCATTTTCTTTTTTTGTTTAAATATGTTAGATTAATAAAATGATTTAAAATATTTAGTTTACTTTGGGTTTTTGAATTATTTTCTATAGATTTGCTATGAGTGTGAAACCATAAAATATATGCAAGCCGGATATCACATCATTCTCAATTTTTTAAAGATCCACATTGAGATAAACCATGTTGATTATCAGTAATAATATTAAATGCATTTAAAAAGCCTAAGAAACGGTTGATATGTTATTTATCAAACCAATACTTTATAATTATCGCCTTGTATGAAAAACGTGAAAAAAAGTTACAATATTATTTTGTTTATAACATCGCCTAAAAACTTTTATAATTATAGCATAAAAGAAAATTAAATTTTAACTATCATAATCATAACTCTGTATTTTCTAATCCATCAACATTCGGACATGACATGTCATAGACATTATTCCACCCGTAGTATATATCTCCAGTTAACATATTTTCCTTCGCTAATGAAACGCCCCTAAATGTTAATAATACATAATACGATCTTCGGCCCACAGACTATTTTTTCTTAGTATTTCCAAAACTCTAATCTAATGGTGATTTTTTTTTATTATTTCCGGATTGGGTGCAGAAGTACAAAAAGCTGCGAAGACGACAGGTAAATATTACAAGCTTTTATATAGATTTTTACTAAAAGTCTAGATGGATGCTTTTAACTTTGTCTACCTCTTTACAAATTTGTCTTTTTTCTTTTATATTTATACTGTTTCAGGGTGACGGAACTGGGGACTTTTTTGCCGGCGAAATGGTGAGCGTATTACAATATTTTAGTCTGTCTTTTTACTATCTAGGAATAATATTATGAACGGAAACAAAGAGCACTTACATATACACTTCTCTTATATCTTCTTTATTAACTATTATTGTAACGGATCAATAATTTTCTTGTATTAAACTCATTTATTCTGTGATAACATGACTTACTTCCGATTTTTCCGGAAATAAGATTGAATCGCAACTGTTTTTTTTTTTATTTTTTTATGTTTACTCTTACATAAAATCAACCACGAAGAGATACAAAAAAATGAAAAGTTTAGCCATAGTAGAAGAAAATATTCTATATTTCTCCTTCTTCTTATTATAGATTATGGGACCCCCTGGTCCACCAGGACCTCAAGGAACTCATGGGCTACAGGGTCCTCCTGGAATTAAAGGCGATCGAGGAGCAGATGGACTTAAAGGGGAACCAGTGAGTTAATGTTAATGTTAATGTTTTATTCTAATTTGATCACATTAATAATAAAATCAAGAATTAGGATTTCAGTTTCACATCGAAAATATTAATATACACTTTTTTTGAAGTGGATAATTTAAGTATTTTGAAAATATTTTCTTTACTATAAGGTAACGGGTTTTAGAATAATTTGAATTATCCACTTCAGATTATATTTAATAACAAGTTTTAATAATTTTTCAATTATTGTTTTACATTTTAAAGGGCGAAAAAGGTTCAAAAGGAGATCCAGGACCAATGGGCTTACCTGTAAGTAATATTTATATTAAATATGTTATTTCATTATTTGTTGAATAAAGGTCTTCTGCATACCAAACATTCACAATACAACACCATTTGACAACCACAGCTGATGTTGGTACGGTATACCAAAGATAGTGAGTTCGAAGTCCACCTGGATCGAATGTTTTTCAATTATTCCCAATTTTAACTTCAATGTATTTTGGTAATAGTACCATTGAGCTGACTCGTAATTAAAAATCGTTTCTTAGGGTCCAATGGGTTTGAGAGGAGAAAGCGGAAGAGCAGGTGACTATGGAAAATCAGGGCCGATGGTAAGGAAAAAATCAAACTATTCTACATCCCAAAAATAAGCCTAATCAGCGTAACCGAACAATACAGTGAGCTAACAAATATTAACAAAACGTAACTAGCAATTAACACCATACACTGTGACTGTACATTTAAAGAAATATAATTTTGTCAATAAATTACATTCCCATTGGATTGTTTTTAAACGCACTGAATGAATCTTTTCTGTATTTAACATTTTTATAAATATAAATAGTATTAGCAGGTACTCTATTTTTATCAGTAAAATGACTATGATCTCTGTATCGAAAAATTTATTAATTCTGCTGTAAGAAGTAAGAATTATATTTGATGACAATGATGACATTGATATTGAAACGTGGTTTGCCTTAGCACTACAATACTTAAACGCTACAGAGTGTAATTGAAAAGATAAAACACATTAATTTATATTTCGTTTTTTGGTTGATTTTGATTGATACTACCTTATTTGATTTGTTTGTATCTTTCCTTTTCTTTTGTAAATCAGAATTAATGAAAAATTTTATTTGACATTACTTGAAAAATATGTATTGAGTCCATTTTCTTGATAAGTTACATTATACTTATAAATTTTGTTACTCTTTAATGTTGTAAAATTAAAAAATATAGAAAAGATTTATTAAGTAATTTTGTTTTTGATTAATATTTTTTTCTCGATTCGTGCTATTATTAGGAGGACAATAATTGGAGATAAGAAAAAGATTGGAAGAAAAATTCAAGTGGAGATGATGAGGCTTTTTTTATAATAGGAAACTAAAAAAAATTGTTACCAAGAATCATAACTTTTCTTTACCTCACTTTAAAATATGAACAGATTTTTTTCAATTCCTTGTGCAGGATAAAACATCAAATGGTACAGAAAGGTTACTTTCAAATGCTGAGAAAATTTAAATTCGTCTATGGGATTTTTAAAAATAACCTGTATTTTATTCTTAACCATCTACATATTTTAAACAACATTAATAAACATGTTTTATATTCCCTTTATTAAAATTTGTAATATGCTAACGAATATTTATTATATCCATATTCATAATAATACAATTATCAAAAATATAGGTATAATAAAATTATGAACTTGTTTTTAAATACTATTAATATATAAACTTAATACTCTACTTTTTCACTCTGCAGATTGTTCTAAGATTATAAGTACTTAAACGAATGAGTGATTTTGTTATATCTATTTATTTATTTAAAATATATTTAAGAGCATGCTCTTTACAAAATATTTTAACGTCCATATACCTAGTACTTGAAAAGTAACAAAATGTATTAAAAGTAAATTGAGAAAAAATATCAAATTTTATTTTTATTTCATTTTTTCTTCGCTAAATAACTACACTATTATTATTAATAAAGTTTTCTATTTTATTTCCTAAAATAATTTAAAAATATCTAATAAACCTTAGAAAAATTTAGTTTTTTCTCAATTTGCTGCCGAATATTCTTGATATTTAGTAAATGTATAATAAAAAAGACTTACAAACCAGTATTTTTAAGGTTACTTACTTGCTGTAATATAAATGTTAACAATATTTTAGGTGTGTTATGGTAGAAAGCTACTGTAACTGTACAAATTCAAGAAGTCTTATCCGAATAACAAATATATTTTTCTATCAGTTTTTCAAAATAAAAAAGTTTTCTGACGTTTCACAAGACTTTACGCTTCAAAAGTATGTAGTCTATGACTTTGAAACGAAATCAAAAAATAAAGCCACAATAATAATATAAAAAATAAAATATAATTTAGATTACCTTTATACAAAATATTTCATTAATCATTCTCTACAAAATTTATATAATTTGTATAGAAGTGATAATAAACTGTAAAGTGTTATGCCAATAAATGCTTTAAATAACATTTTTAAATCGTCGTAATAATTTTTAGAAACAAAAATGTATTTGGAAGTTATCATCAAAATTATGAAGTGTGTAGATGTTTCTAAAAAATAAATTTGGGTATTTTAGTATTTAGTTTTTATTTATTCCAATGTGTTTTAAAGTCTAGATTTTTTGAGGCGTATTAACATCGAATAACTGTGAGGATACAAACACAATGAAGTCGAAATTGGGATGATTTTGATAAGGCTTTTTGAAGAAATGTGACTGACAAAGGCTTAAGGTTGAAAACCTGTGAATTGTAAGATATTTTTAGATTTAATAATTACTTAGAATAATTTTTAATGTAATATCAACGTGTACGGAAATAAATGTTTGTGCATGTGCTGTAAGTATTAAACAAGGCTTTAATTTATACTTTGCTTTCTTGCTTTTGAACCTATTTTCCTTACATAGTGTATCATACATTTAATAATTTATATTTACTAAGACACCAATTTCCATATCTTACTACTCTACACTAATTTATATTGACAATAAACACGATATCTAACTAAAAACTGACTTATATAAAAATGTGACGCTTCAAACTTATTCTCGAAGATTCTAGACACCCTTCGCCAAAAATTGTATTTACGAGAGGCTTTTTTTAAGGGTCAGAATGATGATTTACTTCGACTGTCGGGTTCCATAGACATATCTTTTGGGGATTTTCGATGAAAATGTACTACTATCAGTCCTCATTAAGTTTAATAACCAAGGGTTTAATCAAGTCGTAATAAAGGAAAAACTAAGATTTAAAAAAACTTTATTGATCTTTTTAAAACAGACTTTTAGCAAACCTGCAATTTTCTATTTAAAGTTTTTTTAAGTATTAAAAAAATTGGCACAGGTGACTAAATCTTAACGCTTATAAAGCTAAATAACTATATAATAATTTACTAACTGAATAAAAAAGTTCTACCTTTCTTTTAACTAACTAATATCTGCATGTGCATTTTTGAAAGCACTTTAGCTTCACATATTCATTTTAAAATCATATCCCATTATTTTTGTTTTTATTTTTTTAATTTTTTTTTTTTTTAATTTATATTAATTCCACAGGGTCCGCCTGGTTTAGATGGAATGAAAGTAAGTACCTTGAAATTATACTTAGAAGACCATAAGTCTAAAAAAATACTAAAAATTTTGAATATTATCTAAAATAGAGCAATTCGAAAATTTGAAAATTTTAATTAAGTATATATTGTTTTTAACCCAAAGGCAATTGCTTTTCAAATAATATTAAAAATAAAATATTAAAACTTTTTAAATATTAATTTATTTGTTTTGAATGAAAATATTCTATCTGTGAGGCTTTGATAAGCACCTGGAAAGTCCAAAAACGTCTACACGACTTGCGTAGACTTTTCTACGTCCACATGAGTATTATATATTTCTGCACTAACAACAAAATAAATATAGACCATATTAATTTGCTGAACGAATATAATTTCACATACAATATATATATATATATATATATATATATATATATATATATATATATATATATATCCAACGGTCAGTACCGGGACATTTTTTATTCGTCTTATATATAGGTTAAATCGGTCATATATAAAATGCACTTTCAAATGGTAATCGAAATTTTCAAAAATATTCACGCATTCTCATTAAATTTCGATTTTTTGATTAACCATGCAGTTCCAGGACATTTCAATATAAATACACAACAGATCATATACATTCACATAAATCTGATTATTTGAATCATATATAATGTCGTCTTTCATGAATTGGATCAAAATTCGAGATATATGTTGTTTATTTCCATTTTTGAATGGTAACTTAAAAATTGAGAAAAATAGTAATGATTTATTAACAGCAACATTGCTTTATATATAGGTTGAATCGGCCATATATAGGATGTACTCTCCAATGGTAATCGAAATTTTTAAAAATATTTACGCATTTTCATTACATTTGGAATATTTGATTAACCATGCAGTTCCAGGACATTTCGATATAAATACACAGAATATCGTCTTGCATTAATTGGATCAAATTTCGAGATATGTTGTTTTTTCCATTTCTGAATGATCACTTGAAGATTGACAAACATAGTAATGATTTGTTAACAGCAAGATTATCTTATATATAGGTTAAATCGGTCATATATAAAATGCACTTTCAAATGGTAATCGAAATTTTCAAAAATATTCACGCATTCTCATTAAATTTCGATTTTTTGATTAACCATGCAGTTCCAGGACATTTCAATATAAATACACAACAGATCATATACATTCACATAAATCTGATTATTTGAATCATATATAATGTCGTCTTTCATGAATTGGATCAAAATTCGAGATATATGTTGTTTATTTCCATTTTTGAATGGTAACTTGAAAATTGAGAAAAATAGTAATGATTTATTAACAGCAACATTGCTTTATATATAGGTTGAATCGGCCATATATAGGATGTACTCTCCAATGGTAATCGAAATTTTTAAAAATATTTACGCATTTTCATTACATTTGGAATATTTGATTAACCATGCAGTTCCAGGACATTTCGATATAAATACACAGAATATCATATACATTCACATAAATCTGATTACTTGAATCATATATAACGTCGTCTTGCATTAATTGGATAAAATTTCGAGATATGTTGTTTTTTTCCATTTCTGAATGATCACTTGAAGATTGACAAACATAGTAATGATTTGTTAACAGCAAGATTATCTTATATATAGGTTGAATCGGTAATATATAAAATGCACTTTCAAATGGTAATCGAAATTTTCAAAAATATTCACGCATTCTCATTAAATTTCGATTTTTTGATTAACCATGCAGTTCCAGGACATTTCAATATAAATACACAACAGATCATATACATTCACATAAATCTGATTATTTGAATCATATATAATGTCGTCTTTCATGAATTGGATCAAAATTCGAGATATATGTTGTTTATTTCCATTTTTGAATGGTAACTTGAAAATTGAGAAAAATAGTAATGATTTATTAACAGCAACATTGCTTTATATATAGGTTGAATCGGCCATATATAGGATGTACTCTCGAATGGTAATCGAAATTTTTAAAAATATTTACGCATTTTCATTACATTTGGAATATTTGATTAACCATGCAGTTCCAGGACATTTCGATATAAATACACAGAATATCATATACATTCACATAAATCTGATTACTTGAATCATATATAACGTCGTCTTGCATTAATTGGATCAACTTTCGAGATATGTTGTTTTTTTCCATTTCTGAATGATCACTTGAAGATTGACAAACATAGTAATGATTTGTTAACAGCAAGATTATCTTATATATAGGTTAAATTGGCCATATATAAGATGAACTTCTGAATGGTAATCAAAAATTTAAAAAATAATCGCGCATTCTCGATAGGTTTCGATTATTCGATTAACCATACAGTTCCAGGACATTTCGATATAAATACACAGTGGTTCATACACATTCACATAAATCTAATTATTTAAGTCATTCATATTGTCGTCTTTCATACATTGGATCCAAATTTGAGATATGTAGTTTATTTCCATTTCTGAATAATCACTTGAAGATTGACAAACATAGTAATGATCAATTAACAGCAATATTTTCTTATATATATATATATAGGTTAAATCGGCTATATATAAGATGCACTTCCGAATGGTAATAGAAAATTTTAAAAATAGGCACGCATTCTCGATAGGATTCATTTATTTGATTAACCATGCAGTTCCAGGACATTTTGATATAAATGCACAGAAGATCATATTATACATTCACATAAATCTGATTATTTGAATCATACATTGTCGTCTTTCATGAAATGGATAAAAATTTGAGATATGTTATTTCCATTTTTGAATGATCACATGAAGATTGACAAACATAGTAATTATTAATTAACAGCAACATTGTTTTATAATATATAGGTTGAATCGGCTATATATAAGATGTACTTCCGAAAGGTAATCGAAAATTTCAAAAATAGGCCCGCATTCTCGATGGGTTTCGATTATTTGATTAACCATGCAGTTCCAGGACATTTCGATATAAATACATAGAAGTTCATATACATTCACATAAATTTGATTATTTGTCATACATTATGTCGTCTTTCATAAATTGGATCAAAATTTAAGATATGTAGTTTATTTCCATTTCTGAATAATCACTTGAAGATTGACAAACATAGTAATGATTAATTAACAGCAACATTGTCTTATATATAGGTTGAATCGGCTATATATAAGATGCACTTCCGAATGGTAATCAAAAATTTCAAAAATAGGCACGCATTCTCGATAGGATTCATTTATTTAATTAACCATGCAGTTCCAGGACATTTTGATATAAATGTACAGAAGATCATATTATACATTCACATAAATCTCATTATTTTAATCATACATAATGTCGTCTTTCATGAATTGGATAAAAATTTGAGATATGTTATTTCCATTTTTGAATGATCACATGAAGATTGACAAACATAGTAATGATTAATTAACAGCAACATTGTTTTATAATATATAGGTTGAATCGGCTATATATAAGATGTACTTCCGAAAGGTAATCGAAAATTTCAAAAATAGGCCCGCATTCTCGATGGGTTTCGATTATTTGATTAACCATGCAGTTCCAGGACATTTCGATATAAATACATAGAAGTTCATATACATTCACATAAATTTGATTATTTGTCATACATTATGTAGTCTTTCATAAATTGGATCAAAATTTAAGATATGTAGTTTATTTCCATTTTTGAATAATCACTTGAAGATTGACAAACATAGTAATGATTAATTAACAGCAACATTGTCTTATATATAGGTTGAATCGGCTATATATAAGATGCACTTCCGAATGGTAATCAAAAATTTTAAAAATAGGCACGCTTTCTCGATAGGTTTCGATTATTTGATTAACCATGCAGTTCCAGGACATTTCGATATAAATGCACAAAAGATCATATTATACATTCACATAAATCTGATTATTTGAATCATACACAAAGTCGTCTTTCATGAATTGGATAAAATTTTGAGATATGTTATTTCCATTTTTGAATAATCACATGAAGATTGACAAACATAGTAATGATTAATTAACAGCAACATTGCTTTATATATAGGTTGAATCGGCCATATATAGGATGTACTCTCGAATGGTAATCGAAATTTTCAAAAATATTTACTCATTTTCATTACATTCGGAATATTCGATTAACCATGCAGTTCCGGACATTTCGATATAAATACACAGAAGATCATATACATTCACATAAATCTCATTACTTGAATCATATGTAACGTCGTCTTGCATTAATTGGATCAAATTTCGAGATATGTTGTTTTTTTTCCATTTCTGAATCATCACTTGAAGATTGACAAACATAGTAATGATTTGTTAACAGCAAGATTATCTTATATATAGGTTAAATTGGCCATATATAAGATGAACTTCTGAATGGTAATCAAAAATTTAAAAAATAATCGCGCATTCTCAATAGGTTTCGATTTTTCGATTAACCATACAGTTCCAGGACATTTCGATATAAATAAACAGTGGTTCATATACATTCACATAAATCTGATTATTTAAGTCATTCCTATTGTCGACATTCATACATTGGATCAAAATTTGAGATATGTAGTTTATTTCCATTTCTGAATAATAAAAATAAAAATATTCACTTTAGAGCACTTATTACTACTGAAGTCATTAGAAGGGGTGTCTTGGAACAATTGAAATCTTGTATATATTTATGTAATTGGCGCCCTTTTACTATTTCGCGCCATAAACTAGTTTGAAAGATATACTGTAGGTGGTGGATAGGCCAGTCAATGAAGACATCCTATTTTGAATATTTCACATTAATTACAAAAGTTTTCCAATTTTTTAATATTAATCGGCTGCTCTAAATAACAATAAGTTTTAATTTGCAACCATTTCCAAGGTCCGGAACTAGTTAATTTATAGCAAAATGATGCTTTTGTTTATAATGTTGAGAACAAAAATTGCAAAACTGCTAAAAACTTGAAGCAATATATTATTGTAATATTTTCAACATTA